TACGGTAGGTGTCGCATTGGTATTACTATCAACATTGGATTCTTATTTAATCGATGAAAGATTTTTTTTTGAAATTATTGTAATTTATAAACAAATTAATTTTTTTATAAAAAAAATTTTTATATAATTTTTAATGAAAAACGTTAGAGAAATATTTTATGACATGTTTTTTTTCAACGATTCAATAATTATGTGATTTTTTTTGTAAAATGAGATTCTATGTAAACAATGAAATGTCAAAGGGATTAATTTAATAGAGGATTTTAATTAAATTTTAAATGCCATTGTTTTTTTAATTACTTTTTTTTCTTCTTATATTATTTCGTGGTGTCATAACATTTATTTCATTTATACATCAATAATTTTGCTTTTAAAGGGGAATATTTTTCCCGTGAGAAAGCTTAATACACACATACAAATAAAAATAATACAATTTATTACAATTTGTCAATAATAACCTGAATACTTAGTCTAAATATTCGTTTTGTCAATATTTTTATTATTTGTTTCTGTCATTTCGAGCCTGTTTGGTAAGACTCTGTCCATTCTATTGGAATTTCATAGAACGGCACAGCACATTCAACAAATATAGCAAAGGTAATATTTTTATCAGAGATGAAATAATTTTTGTAGTGACTTTTTATTTATAGACTTATTATAAATCTATGAAACCATCGCTAAAACTGTTCAGTATGTGAATCTAATTGAATTTAATGATTCTTTCTAAGAAATATTATGTGTTCCGAATATCCATAGGTTCCGAATAGGTCGTATTAACCTTCCTTCAAGACTCCCAAATTTTCTTATCGAGCACGTAATTATAATAAGATAAAATGAATATTTGAAGGAAATTCTTTCGATTTACTAGGGTTTTTTCGACGAGAGGTTTTGTCAATTCCACCCCGTAATCGATTTTAATTTGCAAGGAATTAAAAATTACCTATTAATTTTTGTACCTGTGTAGATTCTGAGCAGGGGTTCGAGGTGTTGGAATATGCCCTCTGGAGAACAGGTTTGGGAATTACCCCTTTACAAATTGAGAAAAATATTCGGTCGATTTGCTATGGATTTTCGCGAAAAAAGCGAAGACCTTTTTTGAGCTCTTATACAGGGTGTTTCACAATTCCATGCTTATCTCTCTACCACAGATTTATCAGCTCAAGAGGAGTAAAAAAGTGTATGAGCATTTTTCCCAAATCGGCTGTTTTAGTGGGTTTACAGTCCTCGGCCCCTTAGGGTCAGAATTTTCTATGTTCTGAATCATTTCCACGGACGGTCTTCACTGAGGTGTTTTTCAAAAGGCATTTTTGATTATTGTCTTGTTGGAATGATCTCTCAGTCCTCTTGAAAATACCATGAAAAAATTTCGAAAAAAGTTTCAGTGGAGACGGTCAAAGTGGGTTCACCAAAAGTGAAAAAAATCATCGAAAAACGAGGAAAATCGTAATTTATCTCGAAAAAACATGTGATAAACCTATCTTTTTTATGCCAGAAATCGAAAGAGCATCCAATTTTGGTCCGGTATGCACATTTTCAGAATCTAAATTTTTGTGGGTGGGTGGTCAAAATTTTAAACAGTCCGAAGTGGAGCGACCGATTTTTTTTTTGGCCCATACAGTTTTTTACTCCTCTTGAGCTGAGGAATCTGTGGTAGAGAATTCAATCATGGAATTGTGAAACACCCTGTATAATATGCAATTTTGCTAGGGGCTTTTTTGGCGAAGAGAAAAATCATTCAATTTGCTAGCGGTTTTGAGGCAATCGCTCTGAGACACAGCCCCTCCTAGGAATGAACAAATCAATTGAATTTGTGAGATAACAAATAGAAAAAGTAACCCCTTTAGATTTTCGGAAAATTTTGATGATTTGTCAGGTTTATTTCTTGTGTGATGTTTTTCTTTTAATTTCATGATTCTACTTTTAATTCAGCTTTCAACATATCTATGGCTTGATATATATCTAATGATATATATATATAATGACTTTAAGTCACTGTTATCTTATTCCTTTTTTTACATAAGTATGTATAAATAATTGAAATACCACATCGGTTTGGTCCCACTTTGTGTTGTTGCTTGTTTGTTTTTTCCGTGAAATGTTTCATTTCTTTGTTGATTGTTGATTACAGTGCGAATAATTTTTATAAGAATTCCCTATTCATTTTCAAAGAGCCGAATCCGTACTATAATCGGTGGCATCAAGTAAAATCTAGGGGAAAGAAACCAATGCTAATTTTCTAGTTTATAGCTAATTTACTAGTTCATTGCTTGAAAAATCTAGTAATGCTAATTTTCCTTTATGAAAGTGCTAGTTTTCTAGTTTTTTGTATTGAAAGTTCTACCAACTGTATGTAATGAAGTATTCTGACGTTTTGTCGTTTGACATATTGATTGACATAATTTTTCATTTATAATAATATAAATATTTATTTGATTCCACTTTTTTAATACAAAATTATGCAAAAAATGCTTGTTCCTTTCAATAGTCGAGTTGTAAAATTTATTTGGTCATCGAATGACAAATTGATGACATAAAATCCAAATGGCGAATCAACTAATTTTTGCTTATTTTTCTAGTTTTTACATGGACTATAAAAAATTAGCTAATGGTTTCCGTCCCCTATTGAAATATGTCCTCAAAGGGGGTTTTTAGTACCTTTTGTAAGGAAAGAACAGCAATGTAACTTGCTTCCGCTCACACACAAAATAGTAGTAGTAGTAGTAGAATTGTTTAAATGTATTGGCATATTTCATATTTACTTATAGTTGTTAAAATATCTATTGGTATTTTCATACAATCGCCACTACAACAGCACAGTTGACACTTACTTTGGCTCGATGGACCAAATGTCAACTGCACCAATAGATATTTTAACAACTATAAGTAAATATGAAATATACCAATACATTTAAACAATTCTTCTACTACTGTTTTTCGTGTGCTTACATCAAATAAAACGTGCAGTGGCAATCGCAAAAAAGGCAGAACTTGTTACCTCAAAATTTAGATAAAATTACTAGTAGTGAATTTTAAAATGAATTAACATGTTAAGAGTTATTTGATTTCATCAACATCAGGGATGTTTTTTTCCTTTTTTGTTATTACTTAAGATAAATAATAATTGGTTTGGTCGATAAAATCTAACTACTGCTTCCAAAATAATAATATATTAGGTACTAGAGAAAATACAATTATTTACACTTTGTATTAGTGTCCATTAGTTTTTTCCATAGGTCAAATTGTTCATTTGCTTTGACCATATGAATACTGATCGCTTTTCGCAAATTGCACGGATTAAACGCTATGCGACGGTTAAGGAACTCATTGACATGGATTCGTTTAACGTTTACCAGTTGCGCAACGATACCCGTTGTAAACACGTCTTCTAATTTCAAATATGTTTGTTCAAGGGCCTTTGTATATAAATCATGAATAGCCGACCCACTTATTAAATAAGCTGGCCCCGTAGTAAACTGTGGAAACACTGATGGAAAATATTGTTGCGGCGACACATAGTACTTTGATCGTTTGTTACGAATCGGTTTCCATCTATAAAAAAAATACAATCAACCAACATTCAAAATTATTTGTCAAGATTGAAAATTCATATGCGAAGATATTCAGGTAGAAAACATACTATAAATTCTATGTATACCTTTTTGCTAGTCTTCCAAAAATTATTTTTTGTCGTTCTTCCAGACGATGTTTATCAATAAATGACATTAAGCGAAGTACATTGATGAACATATCGTCATCAGTTTTGAGTATAAATGCTGCTCTCGAGCAGTATGTATCGACCCATTCCAATGATGAAATGGTTTTTAAAGTTAAATTGTTGTAGCTATCTATAAAACGACCACGAATAATGTCACTGTACATATATGACTCAGCTTCTAGCGAATCTTCGATTGCTTGTATATTTGTCGCACCGAGAACAAATGCCATTGCAATGTCACGTCGTGACGCATAATGTCCCCATGTTTGGCGTATAGCAAGGCGGGCTTCACGATGTGTTGGCGCTGAAGTTATTAACATCAGCAGACCTGAGAGCAAAAAATTTTTGAGTTTGTTGTTTATCACTATATGTTTGTACAACTAATTACGTATATGTTCGCCTGCATCAGTTCCGCATAGATCACTATTTGCTTCAAAATGTCCAGACTCATACAAATCACTTGTACGTACGCCGTTTGCTGTATCTAAATGTGCACCTTTGGTGGTCATATTTGAATGAGTCGAAGCCACTGGTGATTGCTTTTGCTGTTGATCGGGTACATTTTCAACTACTTTACCTACAACCATCACATTTGACGTTGATGCGTACAGTGAGCCTGTGAATTATAAATGTAAATAATCAATTGATTTTTAGATAATATAAAATACTTACTATTATTAGAAATGTTTTTTGGCTGAATTATGGCCGCAGCCGCTATAGACGCTGGAAGTGATAACGACGATGATGATGGAATATCAGATGAATTTGATGTATCGCCTGCAAGAATGGAGCCAAAACCAAATTTACTTCTATTACAAGAGATGCGCTTGAGAAGATTTTATAAAACTCACCTGCCAAATTGGATTGATGTACAATGTTTTTGATATTAAAATGCGCAAGACTATTACTTAAATTATCATTTAAAGTATTGTCAAAAACCTTTTGCCTTAGTTGGGCATCGTTGGAAGTGTCAGCAATATTGTTGCTACGACCAGTATCACTTTTATCATCTATCGCGTTATTCTGGAATGTATTGTCATTGCCTGCGGTCATATCTGAATTCAAAATTGATGACACAGATATTAGTGATGACATGTGAAAACGTTGTGACGTTGGAAATCGTTCGATTGTTTGATTTGCGTAATATGAGGTGTACAAAAATATCGATAAACCCACGATGATCAATAGCATAACTAATCGAAGCAGACGATTATGTTGAACAAAACTGGGTGTAATAAACATTTTCATTTGAATTGTTACTGTATTAGATCGCGAGGTCTTTAGGGTTGTCTTTTCTTCTTCGTTCCTTTATATTCAAAAATGTTAATATAGGTACTATTAAAGTACTGCTATGTAAGTGTCAGACAATTTTAAATTGAATACTGACGATAATGATAGTGATGGTGTCTGAAAACACAAAAAACGAAATAAAGATTTTTTTTTCTTCAAAAATTCGAGTATCAATAAATTACTCAAGATTGTTTCGATTTCTTTGATTTTTGTGATATACTTTGTTATATTTACCTTAAAATGAGGTCGCTCATGAATAATTTTTGACTTTCCTGCGTCTTTTAAACGTATCCAAATCGGCGAATACCTGTGAGGTTTTCTCATTATACCTGCATTTATTTTTATTTCAAATGTTAATTTTTTTTAATTGTCTATCTATTTCCGTTTGACAAAAATGAAGAAAATATCCGGTAAATCAACTAATTCTTTGGTTACATTACTGTGAGAAAAAGAAAAATAAATGAATTACATTGGAATTATTAGCAATTTAATTACGTTTTCAAGATATAATCATATTATAAAAAGAATTACTAACATATTCTAAATGACTCAATAAACTTATGTAAAATTTTGTGATCATTCCTCAATAAAAATTTATTTAAATAAATAATAATTATAATTCTTATTATATTTTCATGAAAGTAAGCAAATATTTTTTATTATTTTGAGGACTACCGTTTTTTAGAAGAATGCGATTTTTAACTTGATTGATTGCACTAAGCATTGTGCTAGTTCAGCCGATCTTGACGTATACATATGAAATATACATTTTGAAATGATATGCATATCTGATGCAAAGCTATATGGATACTCATTATGCATACAAATTTCAAAATGGCTAATTGTTTACTTTGAGATTAAAGAACATTTAAAATGATTTAGATTTTCCATGCCCCAAAATCCCCACTTTTTTTATAACTATTGAATGAAATTGGTTACTACTCTAGATTGTCGTTCCAAGCCGATATTATCTCAAACCATACGATCAACGTAAAGGACACTAGAACTTATTCCAAAATAGTTGAAAAAAATTGTTCACTCAACAATAATTTTTCTTTGGATTTTTAGCAAATGTTTAAACTTGCTCTTTCGATTTATGATATATAAAATAGGTTATTCGAAGAATAGAACAATTGAACGCAAACTCTTATATATTTCGATTTTAAATGATGTGTGACACAGACCATCTTCAGCGACACGACTGTAGACATGAAGAAAGTTCATTACAGTATCGCTCTGTCTCTCGTTTGTTTGATAATTTAAATGGGTCGAATGGTTTTTATTCTAAGAAAAAGCACTGTTTGATTTTGCAATGAACTTTTTTCATGTTTTCAGTTGTATCACTGAGGATGGTCTGTTAGACAGACCGAAATGCATTCGAACTCAATTTTTGTTTTCATTTCATTATTTAAAACAGACCATATACTGAGCATAGATATTTATCCAGGATATTTTGTGAGAATTCGATAATTAACGTAGCAGTCCATGCATTATTGCTCCTTCTAAACGAAGTGTGTGTGAGACTCGAATTGGCATGTGTATCTTAAACACAATACGATGGAAGGGGTAATAATGCACAGATCGACGCTCATACTTACACAG